CAGTTCACACTACATGTGTTTCAGTTGCTTTTTTGCATCCAAAATGCACAACAAGAAGGTTATATGGTTGTCATAGTTCACATCAGCGCTTGCAGTTCCAGTGCGTTGCAGGTGCTGGCAAAAAAGTCGAACAGTCGGTATTGTTTATGCATAGAACTGTACTGGAATGCAGCAAAACGCCCTGGAATGCACTAACACATCCCTAATTAAATTGAAGAAAAATAGAGGGGAAACAAATTAACTGGAATGCATAAAAATGCACTGGAACACATCAAAAATGCATCCAAAATGCACTGGAACGCATAAAAAACGCATCCAAAATGCACTGGAACACACCAAAAACGCATCCAAAATGCACTGGAACACACCAAAAACGAATCCAAAATGCACTGGAACACATAAAAACGCATCCAAAATGCACTGGAACTCGTCAAAAATGCATCCAAAATGCACTGGAACACACCAAAAACGCATCCAAAATGCTCTGGAACACGCTAAACATGCATCAAAAAAGCGCATGCAAAAACGCTTCTGGAACACATCTAGACTGTTTCTATAGTGTGAACTGGGCCCTTAGGACTTGTTCACACCATTTGTGTGCAGAAATGCATGCAAGAGCACGCAATACCCCCTGCAGATGTGCGCAGGTACCATGATGAAAACCTAATTGCACCTCCACACGTCTAGTAAACACAGATGCATTTTCAGCCACCAAAATGCATGGCACCACACTACTGTGCGGTTAGGTGCAACACACTTTTAAAATAATATGCCTGCAGTATTTTTGCATCCTCCACCCACACGTTAGGCAGCACATTGAAATTAATGAGCTGAGGAAAAAAAAGTAAAAAATGCCACATTCGCACAGGTCCTCTGGCCTATACAGCATGAATGAGGGGGTTGTTCATGTGGCTGGAGCCACCTGTTACACTATGGGGACACAGCAGCTGTATGAATCAAGGGTTTTAATCTGACAGGTGTGAAGGCGTGGGGAAGTGGACCTGAATGCTCACTGTCTGTGTTCAGGGCTGTACACCTGCACCCATATGCTTGTCAAATTAGGACCTGCAGCATTTCCATAGTGTAATATAGGTTGCCTGCAAACGGCGACAGCCACAAAAACAAACCATTGATTCACACTCTACAGGCCACAGCACCCGTGTGTGAATGAGCCCCAAGACCTCAATTACACACACAGCTTTATTTATGAACTCAGTTCAGTTTTATTATTTAGATTTCACAGGAATTTGGTTTGGATTATGTCCATTAATAATGTTTTTAGTGTATTTTTACCATAAATATAATTTGGATATTTTCTCTGGCAGTGGGAGGCTATCAGGTATGTTGTACGGGGCCCCGTGATATCTAACAGTGGCCCTGGGTGTATGTAATAGAAAATATGGCAGTGTGACAAGGGCAACACTGCCTGCAGAAAGTGGTTAATTGAAAATCCAAGCGGAGTAATGTAACTGCAAAAAAATGCAAAACATTTACAGCCCACACAGGGGCTGACTGACAACTCATGGGGTCCCCTGGGCAATAGGGGATCATAGGGCCCCTGTGTCTTTGCCCAAACTCAAAAAAGCCTATGAAAAAGGTACCAGGGGCATCTCATGGGGCCCCCTTGTGACCCTGGGCCCTCGGGCGGTGCCCGAGTTTCTGGGCACTTGGTACCTCGGGTTCTGTGGTCTGGGGCAATTCACCACAATATCTCTTCCTCTCAAAACCAGACTTGCAGAAAATACCTGGCCTCTTCCAAGGCAAAAATCACCCACTACTGCAACTTTTTATATAACATAGGCCACACCCACCACTGTCATTCATTTGGTCAGAGAAAGTGTTTGCACCAGATTAATTCTCTTCCCACCTGGATTAACCCTTGGTATACAGGCCCCACAAATCAGAGTCAGAAAGAAAGCCACAGTGAAGTGTACCTGTGCAGCGTACAACAGAACATTGAACAGTGATGTGGAGGGGAACCCCATGGGAATATTTATTGGCACTATGGGCACAATTCACTCCAGATTACCACATGAGTTAAGGCAGTCACATGACCACATCTCGCATGCAATACTGAAAATGTCAATTCACTTTTGCTAGTATGCAGAATTTCCCATAAATCGGAAAAACACTCAGGAAATCAAACATAAAAAGGCCTTACACCCCGGTCACATCAAAGCCGATTTAGAAATTGTGAGACTTACAGTGAAGATGCCGATTTCTTTGCGATTTGCAAGACATCTGACACAGATATCTATGCAATTCACCACAAAAGTATGTGGTGTACTACTTTAAAAATCAGTATCGGAAACGCACCCATGTGACCACTCTAATAGCAGACAATAGGGTGCGACTTGTCATACGATTTGCAAGTCGCATGTCATGCAAATCACATGCCAAGTTGCAGCCAATGTGACCGCTATTAGAGCGTTCATATTGGTGTGGTTCAAACTTGGTTGGAGCCACAACAATTTCTGAAGTAATGAATACACTACTTTTCATGCAATTTGCAGAGAGATCTGTGTCAGATGTCTTGCAAATTGCACTTTAAATTAGCATGTCCCCCGACTTTGAAATCATGTGACTTCACTGTAAATTTCATGATGTGACCGTAGTATAAGTTGCACCACTTCAAAATCCGCTTTGATGTGACAGGGGGCAGGTGCAATTTGGCATGCGATTTGCATGCCAGGTGACTTGCAAATCACAGGCCAAGTTGCACCCTATTGTCCACTATAGGCTCCATTCACATCCAATCTGATTTTGAAATCATGCGACTTCACTGTAAGTTGACCAATTTCCAAATCAGATTAGATGTGACTGTGGTGTTAGCCCCTGGTCACATCGGGTGCAATTTGCCATGCAATTTGCAAGTTGCAAGGCATGCAAATCACATGCCAAGTCGCATCCAGGGTGCGTGATTTCAAGTGCGATTTGGGAATTGAAATTGTACCTGATATCGGATCTAATGAATGTGGATGTAAGTGTCTTAACGTAAGCGATTTGCTGCAGCACAATTTCAAAAGTAGTTCTTGTCTAACTTTTTCTGCATGTAGCGATTTCACATATAGAATACAATAGAAATCGAAATGCAAAACACAATTGAAAACGCAATAACTCATTGGTAAATCTTCAGAAAACACGGTGAAATTGCCAACAAAAAGCACAATTTTAAATTGCATCTAGTGTGAACCAAGTAGGCAATTCAACAAAGGAAATACATCTTTGAGGGCATGCGGTATCTGCATGCTCGGATAAGGGTCTGTTATGGATTTGGAGGGGGACTCCATGCCATTATTTTATTATTTTAATCCTTTTCTCTCTCTCTCACTCTTCTCCCTCTCTCTTAGCTCTTGGCTTGACAAACCCTTCCCAAAAGAGGGTGGCATGCAAACCAGCATTATCAAATCAATCATTAGTTCAGGTTTTTTTTTCTCATCCCATCGTTTGACATTCACATAAGGTGCAGCATTGAAGGTGTTTGAACAGACAAGGCCTCATTCTAATTCACATTCTAGAGATCATTTAGATGAAAGCAAAGATGCTACCACCAGCACATATATGTTAAGGTAGCCACCCAGGGAGATCATGCAAATTCATTGCCGTGGTTGGGATTCAAACCAACAACCCTAGCGTTGTGAGGCAGCAGTGCTAACCACCAATCCATGGAGCTGGTGAACACTAATCCTGCCTGTATTTCTGTGGTGTGAATCAACCCTAAGTCCCTGGGCAAGGTCAGTGTAACTAACCAGATATCTCAAATGTGGCACTAATGTTGTACTATGTTGCCAATTCAGATGTATGTTGGTTCCATGTATCCCAATACAAAGGATTGCAATACTAATACAGGCATAGCTCGGTTTACCAACGCCTCGGTTAACAGAATTTTCGGTTTACGAAGGAAAATCCATTGAAAATAATGCCTCGGTTTACAAATTTTTTCATAATTTTTTTCACAATACGAAGTGTATGTCGGTGCTGATTTTTAAATGCAAATGCCAGCCTTTTTTTTTTCTTCACTATAGTTCACAAGCTTATCTATCACTTTCCCCGAAGTTACAGAAAACTTTGTATCTTTTAATAAACTAAAAGTAAACATTGTTTCCTTTAGGGAAATAAACTCAAAGAAAACTTTCTCTTTTAGCTGGGGGAAGTGACAACTGAATTTCTGAGCTATAGTGAAGAAAAAAAAGCCAAAATTACATTTAAAAACCAGCACCATAATAAATAAAAAACGGCATGGGGTCCCCCCTCCCATCCCACACCAAGCCCTTCGGGTCTGGTATGGATCTTAAGGGGTAACTCCACGCCAAAATTAAAAAAAAAAACAGCATGGGGTTCCCCCCAAAATGCATACCAGACCCTTATCTGAGCATGCAGCCCAGCAGGGCAGGTCAGGAAAGGGGGGGGACGAGCGAGCGCATCCCCCCTCCTGAACCATACCAGGCCACATGCCCTCAACATGGGGGGGTGCTTTGGGGCAGGGAGGCTTCCCCCCAAAGCACCTTATCCCCATGTTGATGGGGACAAGGGCCTCTTCCCCACAAGCCTGGCCGGTGGTTGTTGGGGTCTGCGGGCAGGGGGCTTATCAGAATCTGGAAGCCCCCTTTACCAAGGGGGCCCCCAGATCCCACCCCCCCTATGTGAATGAGTATGGGGTACATGGTTCCGCTACCAATGCACAAAAAATGTATAGTGTAAAAAAACACAGGACACAGTCTTTGACAAGTCCTTTAACCACCTCCCGTCCAGCCGTTGTATGTAAACGGCCGGACGGTGGCAGTGCAGGGTTGGGTGGCCATTTATAAAGGCCTCCCTGCACCCTGCTTGTGCTAACTCCCTGGGAGCTCGCAGCACCGCGATCCGCGAACACCGATCGTCAGGCGGGACCTCTGTGTGAGGTCCCGATCATGTGATCACTGATTGGCCAATCAGTGATCACATGCAGAGTAGTAAGCAAAATGTCACTTCTGACATCATTGTTTACTATGTGTGAAATATGTGAATGATCACAGAGGTCACATGGTACAAGGCTATTCAAAACAGCCCTGTACCATGTGACAAGCTGTGATCAATCACAGCTCACTCAGTAGTTCTCAATGGTTGCAAGAATGCAGCTAGAGAGAAGGAGAAATTATTGCTTTTACAGCCTTTATGGGTGTAAAAGCAATCAGCTTAAAAAAAAAAAAATCTTCATCACCCCCCACAAGTAGTACAGTGTCACCATGGTGACACTGTACTGCTAGGGCGACAGTATGTAAAATAAATAAACAAATAAATAAATAATAATATAAAAAACAATTAAAAAAATGTTTAAAAATTATAATTTTTGGTTATAAACTAATTTGGGGTATTTTTTTTTTACAAAAAGATAACGGAATACATTTTGGCCAAGATTTATGATGAAATACTATTTATAAGAAAAACACTTTTTTAAAAATTTTTGGACTTTTTCATTTACATAGCAAAAAAAAACATCCCAGTGGTGAATAAATACCACCAAAATAAAGCTTTATCTGTCTCAAAAAAATGCAAAAAAAATTCATATGGGTACAGTGTTACATGACCGCGCAATTGTCATTCAAAGTGTGATAGCACTGAAAGCTGAAAATTGGCCTGGACAGGAAGGGGGTAAAAGTGTCTAGACTTGAAGTGGTTAATAAAAGAAAGTACCCCCGAAGTAGATCCAATGTCAATCACGGTGTAAGGTGCCGGCGACCCAAAAAAAGAAAAAACAGGTTCCGCTCCCGACAATGGCTGCTCAGCCTAGTGCTGTGAACTTGGGTGACAGTTCTTAAATATGTAACAGGCGGGGCCACCTAGGGTTATCAAAATAACTCATGCGGTATTTTAGTAGTGACAACCATGTGTTAATGTTTCAGCTGTCAGCGGGGTTCCCCACTGACAGATAAATGTTAAAGCATTTCCGTAAATTAAATAAATACTAAAAAAAATGGTGTGGGGTCCCCCCTCCCATCCATACCAAGCCCCTCAGGTCTGGTATGGATCTTAAGGGGTAACTCCACGCTAAAATAAAAAAAAAAAACAGCGTGGGGTTCCCCCCAAAATCCATACCAGACCTTTATCTGAGCACGCAGCCCGGCAGGTCAGGAAAGGGGGGGACAAGCGAGCACCCCCCTCCTGAACCATACCAGGCCACATGTCCTCAACATGGGGGGATCCCCCCCAAAGCACCTTGTCCCCATGTTGATGCAGACAAGGGCCTCTTCCCCACAACCCTGGCCGGTGGTTGTGGGGGTCTGCGGGCGAGGGGCTTATCAGAATCTGAAAGCCCCCTTTAACAAGGGGGCCCCCAGATCCCTCCCCCCTATGTGAATGAGTATGGGGTACATGGTACCGCTACTAATTCGCAAAAAAAACAAAAAGTGTAGTGTAAAAAAAAAACAGGACACATTTTAAAAAATTTTTGAAATGTAAGATATTGTTTAAAGTGAAGTCCCAATATTTGAGGGAAGCAAATTTCAATGTGAACATGTCTCTGCAGTGATTTTTCATGGTGTTAGACATGCTTCTTAGCAAGTCTGCTTTTTGAGACTGATTCCTGGATTGTGCTTGGTTAGTAAATTCGATTTTGCATCTACTTGTTGACGCTTTCTTTAGGAAATGTCTTTGTTGTCTAAAAGTATATGGTCGCTATTAAAAATTAGACGTTAGTCCAAGGAAATGCGCCTAGGCACAATAGTAAATCAGGGCCAAAATGTCCAGAGTCTGTAGCGGCACCTGGCTCAGCCTCTCAGTGAGCCGCTGAGAGCCTGAGCCAGCTGCTCCCTCCCCCTCCACAGCCGAGCACTCCAGTGAGTGTGGGGGGAGGCAGAGCAGACAGCGGTGACTGACAGTCACTGCTCTCTGCTTACAATGGCAGTGAGAACTCATCAGGTTATGTGTTCCCTGAGTTCTCACACTTAGAGCTGGCGGGGGACAGATCCAGCATCGGACTGATGCTGAATCCACTTAGGTAAGTATAATTTGAAAAAAAAAACTTCTCTTTTAATACAAGTAATGCATTAAAGGTTATACAAAAATAAGGATATAATACTACTGCGCTGCCACAAATAAATGATAAGCTGTTCTAAGCACCTAAATGTGTCCCCACATCAATAAAATTCCCCAAGAATAGTGCTGTGCTGCCCCCTAGAGGCCCAAAAAATAAACTAATAATAAATAAACACCCTCCTGAGCATCAAACACAATATGTAATTGAATAAATCTGTGAAACAAATAAAGTCAATAGTAAATAAAATACTGGCTGGGCCACTAAATCCAAATGATATGTGAAACATATATAAAAAAAACAAACCATAATCAAGTAGTAATAAACACCTGACCAACCTATAATAAACACAGGCTGAGCTGAAGAATAAGCTATTTAACTCACCAGTATGTTTTGGATTGGAAGACGCTGGAAAAAATCCCCAAAAATCTAAGGTTCTTTGTTCCCTCACAGTCATTTATAGTGGCACATATTTTTCAAAGAATGATGATGAAATTATGAGCTAAAAAGAAAAGAGGAAACTGCAAGTGTTTCCCAGAAATTTCACTTTAAATGTACCCTTAATGGGAAGTCAGTCTGAAATTACAGAGGATGTATATGTACTTGTATATATTTATTAAGTTTACATTAACCACTTGCCCTCTAAAGGGTTTACCCCCCTTAATGACCAGGCCTCTTTTTGCTACTCGGCACTGCACTAATTCAACTGATAATTGCGCGGTCATGCAGTGCTGTACCCAAACAAAATTTACGTCCTTTTTTTCACACAAATATAGCTTTTTTTTGGTGTTATTTGATCATCTGTGTGCATTTTTATTTTTCGTGCTATAAACAAAAAAAGACCGAAAATTTTGAAGAAAAACAATATTTTTTACTTTGGCTATAAAAAAATATATAGTAAACTCAAAGTTAGTTATAAATTTAGACCAAAATGTATTCTGCTACATGTTTTTGGTAAAAAAATCCCAATAAGTGTATATTGATTGCTTTGTGTGATAGCGTCTACAAACTATGGTATAGATACTGCAAATTACGCCATTTTTTTTGCTATACAGCGCTGCACTAGTTTAACTGACAATTGCGCAGTCATGCAATACGGTACATAAATTAAATTTATGTCCTTTTTTTCACACAAATAGAGCTTTTTTTGGGTGGTATTTGATCACCTGTGCACTTTTTATTTTTGGCGCTATAAATAAAAAATTTTTAGGAAAAAAATGTTTTTTTTTGAAAAAAACAATATTTTCTCATTTCTGTCATAAAAAAAATATCCAAAAAAACTAAAATTTTGAAATAAATTTAGGCCAAAATGTATTCTGCTACATGTTTTTGGTTAAAAAAAATCCCAATAAGTATGTATTGATTACTTTGTCTGAACGTTATAGCATCTACAAACTATGGTAAAGATAATGGAATTTACACAGCTTTCCCTTTCTGACTGCTTATCACATTTCTTGAGGTGCTAAAATACCAGGACAGTACAAACACCCCCAAATGACCCCTTTTCTGAAAGTAGACACCCTAAGCTATCTGCTGAGAGGCATATTGAGTCCATGGAAGATTTTTTATTTTCTACAAGTTTCTGGAAAATGACAAAAACTATTTTTTTTTTACACAAATTTGTCATTTAAATTATATATTTCTCACACAAGCAATGGGCATATGTGGAATTACACCCTAAAATACATTCTGCTACTTCTACCGAGTATGAGGATACCACATGTGTGAAACTTTTTGGGAGCCTGGCCACATACCGGAGCCTGAAATCCAATGACCACTTTGAAAGTCTGAAGGTGCATAACTTCCTCATTTCACTTCCTCACACCTATCACAGTTTCAGAGGCCCTGAAATGCCAGGACAGCACCAACCCCCCCCCCCCCAAATTACCCCTTTTTGGAAAGTAGACACCCCAAGGAATTTAAAAAGTGGCATGGTGAGCATTTTGCAGATCTAATTTTTTCTCACAAGGTTTTGAAATATAAAAAAAGAAAAGAAAAAATGTTTTTGTTTTTTTTTTTCTTCATTTTCCAAAAACTTGTGGCAACAAACGAGATCTGCAAAATACTCACTATAGCTCACTATATCCTTTTACCATGAATCTTTTTTTCAGAATTTTAGCCTGAAGGTGGTAATCATTTTATATCTGTACAGTTTCTACGAATCCTAGTGAATTGTCCCTTCGGGATATTAGCTAGCCACAGGGGGTGGTGGCAGCTATCTGTGGGGATGTAGCTATTCCGATCTGTTAGTTTAAAGAATGATTTCGTAGTGATCTTTCCATTGTATACTCACTGTTTTGAATTTTATAAATATCTGCTATATTCATGCCTATCCTGGTCTGTTAGGATAAGACAGGATCATTTCCATATGATTATTTTATTACTGTGAATTTTATTTGATTTTATATTGTATATATGTTTTAGCCTTCTCAGTTCGGCATCTATTTTACATGGATCTTTTATCTCTGCTAGGATGAGCAGATCCTATATTATTTCATTATTTATATGTAAATTTATAGTACTGATTTACTAAAATTACCTATCTAATGGATGATTACCTAATCTGGAGAAACTAGCTCTGAACTATTATGCACAAAGAAGAACTATTATTTATTATTTATATATATAATAGAATGCATACTCAGTGCATATATGGCAGTAAAATGCGTATATGGCAGTAAAATGTTGTCATAGAATCTGCCTTGCACTGACAGCTGGTCCCTGGATACGTAGCTCGAGTCTCCTTACAGCTGGGTACATTTACCCAGCTTGTATGTTAAGATCCACGGAAAAATGGTGCCGACGCACTCGCGCATGCACAGTAGCCGATCACTGGCAAAATGGCACCGACGCGCTCGCGCAGTAGCCGATCACAGGCAAAATGGCACAGATGCACATGCGCAGTAGCAAATCCTCAAGAAAATGACGGTGGTGCGAAAATACATAAGTGCCCTGCCTTATTTAAACACAGGCAATGTACACACAGCACTGTTGACATTCCTCTCAAGACGTGCATTTGCACGAAAGGCCTAAGGAGTCAACACGCTGTGTTTTTCAACCGCCGGAGCCATTTACAGGTCCAGCGGTCATTCATATCACTGGTCA